GCTAGAAATTCACAGCAGAAAAAGACATCACATTGGTGGACAAGGGGAAGATAGCTGCGGTCAGAGAAGATGCCCTTTGCACCCCATATCCTAGCATGAGTGGCAGTGGCATGAGGGCCATTAGCATTAACATGGCAGAAAATTTTCCTCATCTCAAGTCTAGACATGTGTATCAACAGTATGAGCACACACACAGGCCACTCCCTGATGGGAAAAGACCTCCTTTCATAATTTCTTATTATGTTCATGCAACATTTCCTCAATAAAAAAAAAGCTCATTAAAAAAGCAAATAGTTGGAGAATCCCCAGTTGAGTTGAAACTGAAAGGCTGCTGTGCCATGGGCAACACTCTGTGCCAGAACTTTTGCAGTATTGTGATACCGAGAAGAAATGCAACCAGAGCTTTAGGCACAAGTTCTGCATGTTTCATGTACAAAGACATTCTACAAGAGGCATCCCCATCATCCTTTCACTGAAAACTGTAGCCTGAAATCATAGCTTTAACCAATTATAACATTATATGGCAGATATTCTAGCAAGAATCCTTGTTAAAAAGGTTAAAAACATTATGCCCAATAAATCTCTTGCAGACACAAGCTGTTCATAGGTTTAAGTGATCTCCCACTGCCAAGAACAAAGGAAGGATTTCTGTCATGCAGAATAGGCAAGGCACCTCCACAACTGAAATCTGCGGTGTGTTGGAAGTAAAAACAAAATCAAATAAACAAAACCCCAACGAAACCACATTTAATAGAAGTTAATATCCTGGTTGAAAAGAAAGCCTAAAGCTATCTGAAGATGATTTTGGGAAGGTCAGCTACAGCAGTCTTCTGGTGGTGAACTCAAGGTTTAGTAAATGGTCAGTGTTGTTATTCTGATACCATTTTCTGTTACGGGCAAATTAAACAATAACCTGTACTGGGTCTGAATCCTGGGGTTTATTCACAAACCATCAAGATTGGAGCTTCTACCACAGCTCATTATTTCACACACTTGTGCACTCACTCCCCCAAAGCATTACGTTTAATCTCACCTCCCTTCCCAGCATGGAGGCTTGCTGCTGGCCTGTGGAGGTCAGGCAGAAAACCATGTCCCTTCACACTATACAGCTACCCACAGTTACCAGTCCAGGGTATCAGCCAAGGTCCTGGGGCATACCTGGTGTTTTTCTCCATGCATTTTCATCTCCAGTATCTTTCTTTTAAGGTCTCCTTCTTTCTAAGACCACTTCCAAAATCCTCCTTTTGGGCACCCCTTGTACTTTCCAAGAATGCTCCAAGCCCTAATCAAAATAATCAATGTGCAGAGAAGTACAGGACACAATCAGCCACCTCATCAATAGCTCTGTCATGTCTCTTGAGAATTCAGGTTCAGCCCAGGTGTTATTAAATTTATAACCAGATACTGGCAGCACCCAACAAATATAAGGCTTGCTATCCTTGAGAGCCCAGAAGTTGGCAAATTTACCCCACCTGCATATACACCAAGTGACCCGCTGCCTGTTAGTGTTTGAAATGTAAGCTTTACTTTTTGCCCACAAATGATAGAGGTCACATTCCTTGAAGGTATTCTATAGTTCAACACTTCTTCGGCAGACTGTTGCTATGCCCATTTTCAAGATGCTGTCCCACAGCTGTTCCTATGGAAAGAAACAGCTGAACCAACAGCACTGCACCAGCAGTCACACTTTTGTCTTCTTGCCCTGCCTCAGAGCATGGGGATGGAGCACAGGAAAAAAGAATCCAACACCAGCACTGACAGCTCTTGGAAACAGCAACAGATGGCAAGTGAGCTCCTATGATGTACTCTGCGGGTCGTGTTCATCCAATCAATTTGCAGTCTCTTCCTTCCACATCTAAAGTCCATGGCTAGTTTTGCCTATAAACAGCATATGAAATAGTAGGGCTGGAAAACAGATCGGGTGGGTATCTGAAATTATTATCAATGCACAAGGGTTCGAAGAGTCAAGGAGGCTCCTAATGCATTGAAAGGAGACTAACAAGGATAAATAGTTGTGCAGAATCTGTGGGAAGAATAAAGCAAAGTCATCATCTGGACAAGAAACAAGAAAGGTGGATCTCAGGAAAACTGAAGTTCCAAGACCAGTGCTGCTGCACTAAATCTTTGTGCCTGCAGAGATTACACATTCCTCTGTCAGCCATCTCTCACTGGCTAACTGATCTGTACAGAAAAAAAGTTATTAACCCATCTATTACCCAGTGCTTAGTATTTTCTCATCATTTCTCTATTTTTCTCCAGTGGATACTCACTAAGACTGACCAAGTACGACAGACCTCTTGATTCTGAATCCCCAGCCCTGCATTACTGTCTATCAAAAATACTTCAGTTCCCCTTCCTGGAGTTCACAGATTTACACAAGTTTCCTCCGAAGACTCAGTTATTGACATTTCAGAGTCATCTTAAAAGGTTACTAGAAATCAACAACAACAACAAAAAAAAAAGAAAAAAAAAAAAGAAAAAAAGAAAACAACAAAAAAAAAGACAAAACAAAACAAGAACAAAAAAAAACCCCTCAAGCTATGTCCAATCACTTTTTTGAAAGTGATTTGGAAACTATAGGAAGAGACTTATACAGAATGTTAAGGTATCCCAAGGGATCAGTTAGTCAATGCCATCTTTTAGGAATATTGTTGGGAACTATCTCCAGCTCCTTTGCTCTCTCATTGTCAAAGAATCAAACCTACCACTACAAACCCAACAGCCATGTTCATTACTCCAGTTATAAACACATCACAAACCTTTGCAGAGGGCGTCCATCCACCTTCCAGTCTCATTCTGAAGGTGTTCAGCATGAACACATTAAAGCAGATGTCCAAAGTGCAAGTCAAACAACAGGATAAGGTCAAGTATTACTTCATTCATTAAATTCCCCATAAAAACGTACAGAAGAGTGACTGGTCTCCAAAGTTTATTAAAAATCAAAGAATAGAAAACTTTACATAAAAATATGTCAATTTTAGCTTCCACATAGTTGTCCACACAAAAAATTTAAACATGATCTCCTTTTAAACCTGTAGCACATAACCACAGTGATAGCCAGGCCAATTTATTTGGTTCACCATGACTGAAGTGTTACATGATACCACTTTTCAAATGAGTTTTGCTTTAAAATGGACACTAGTATAAGACACCAACTAAAGCCTTTGAAGGCTCTTTAATGTAGTTATGCTCAATATTGCTAGTGTGTGAAGACTAAGCAGTACAGGCTCATGTAACAGCCCTTAGATATTATTTATGAATCAGCTCACAATTTTAAAACTTTTTTTTTAAATTGTGATGAGTCTGGAGCATTGAGACAAACTTTTGCAAACAGATATGCGCTACTCTACTTTGGAATGTTGCCCTCTCTCCCCTCAAGGACCTGTTTGTGTTCGACAGATTCAGTAATAACATGATACTTCTGCTTCAAAGGCATACAGCATATTAAAAAGCTTCATGCTTGACACCTCATTTTAATATTCAGATATCAGTTTTAAAACCTTCTGTATCTGTACACAGTATAGATGTCCTGTTAACAGGATTCTTCCAGCTTCCTCTGCGAGTGGATTTATATAACCGATCTGTAGTTTTCTGTATAGATTAAGAGCTCTCATTAAAAGAAAGGGGAAGTCAGAGGGCGCGAGATGTGACCTAGTCCCAGGACAACTATGGTGCTTTAAAAACTCAGGGTTAGGCAGGATGTACATTTTTCAAAAAGTTAAAGACAGTGTTTGTCATGGCAATACACACTTGCATAGTATACCTGTATGCATCTGTAAATTAAGTGCCAGCCACTCATACTGTGTACAACACTGGGCTGTGCTCTCCTGCAATACATTAAAAGATACTTCTCGTAATGCTTAGAGCAGCTGAAGTACTTTTTATATATTTGCTCTTAACAGAACTAATGCATACTGCTATACAGATTCCTTAATGGAATCAACATATTTCCTTTCTCCACATTCCTTAAGCCGGGTACCTCTGTTTAATAATGTTGTTTGAACCCAAACATTAACAGGTTACATTACTAAAATACATCAAAGCGTGTAGTTCACAGCTTTTTTAATTTCACATCAGGACTTGAACCAACCTTTTTCCCCCTGCCCTTCAAAAGTTTTACTTCTGGTACTACAAATGCTGGATTTGTTGTCTAGTTAAAGGAATAAAATTAAAACTCATTGGTCAGAGCAAGACAACTGATAAAGGCCAGACAATGAGCTAAAAAACACAGGGTCAAAACGCTTTGGAGTTAATACCTTCTTAAAACCGTAAGCCAAATCGCACTTTCATTGTGAATCAAGAAGCCTCAAATATTACCAAATGTCATGTTTGTAACACTGCTCAGACAACCTGCCAAAACTATGAACCCAACTTAGATAATGCAACCTGGGAAAGGATCTGTAAATTAAAAAACCTCTTCCCTTAAATATAACTTATGTGACATATGAAATTAAATTAAAAATTCCAAGTTATTGCACAAATTATACTTCCAATATTTACAGAGCAAAAAAAAAAATCTGAACTTTGAAACACAAACAGGAGAGCAGCAAATTCACTTCTATGAATTCCCAACGTGATTTGCTGCAATGAAAAAAAAGAAAAAAAAAAAAAAGAGAAAATAATTCCAAGGGGCTGCAGTTTCCTTCACTTCCAAAATAAAAGAAAACAGAACCCACAAAGGAACAGATGTCGCCACAGCAAAAAAGCTACAGCATTTGTAAATGTCCTTGCAGTTCTATTGTCAGAGCTGCTTCGGCACTGTATGAACCGTTGTGGGAAGGCAGAAAACAAACTTCCACATTTAATAAGGCTTCACAGATAAGCACAACTACTTCTTGAAGATGGGCTGAACCACCACACAAAGAAACATGCAAAGAAGTCAGCTGCAGATATTTGGCAACACCAATAAAACGATGTGCTGGACGCTGGTCTCCATCCCTCAAGTTGAGTGGCATTCACTCAGTCCGTCTGAACAGGGAAGGTCATTTTGGCATCTGCCATTATCTGCTCAGACTAATAGGCAAACTGTCTCTGTGTTTTTTTCTCCTCCAGATATTACGATTGTACTGGTGGTGTCCTCGGTTACCAACTGGTTGCCTCATGCCTCCACTACTGACGGGGCTGTAGCTGTTGCCTTGGTTATGAGTCCCTTTCATGGAAAACTTCATTCCACTGTGCTGCTAAAAAAAACACAAGATAAGCATTCAGTTTAGGCATATAAACGATTGAAACAAAGCACATTACCACCAGTGGCATTTCCTCAACATACAAGTCATTCCCACAGAACACTGCTTGAAGCAACTGGTCTTTTCATGCTTGTCTAATTTTAGCTGCGTGAGTCCAAAGGCACTAACAGCTTAATGAGTGTTTTGTGAAGTAAATGTCCTGCAAATGAAATAGTATGTATTTCAAAGCATCCTTAAAACCCTTGGATCTCAGTACAGTATACACTCACTTTGCATCACACTTATAAAAACAGAGACCTTCTACATTAAATACTAATTGTGAGAGTCCTATCTATTTTAGAAGATCCTAGCAGGAGCATGACGAAGTCAAATACTCAATCAGACTTTCAGAAAAATCATGGATAAATGTTAGTGCATGATCATATGAGAATATAAATCTGCTCTGTCCATAATCTCGCTCAATAACTGGTAAACTAGCTATGGATTGTAAAGAGCTTGTAAATCCTACTGGTCTGATCACAGGGCAATGTAGCTCCTAGACCACACCTCACACCCAGACCAAATGATAAGGAACACAACATGACACTTTCTTTGGAGGGAATCTCCAATAACTTGGAACAGCAACTGCTAACAGGGTTTAGTGGCAGCCTGAGTAAATCTATCACACCATAAGATAGTGCAGACATCCCCATTGCTTAATGGCATACAGTAAGCTGGTTTAATGCATATGCACTTAAAATAGGTATAAGAATTAAGATGAAACTGACACAGGCTTCCCAAATATGGGTAACTTCAATGCAAAGTTACTGCTGTCAGACATCAGAAAAGCTTAAGACAGACAACTGACTGCCTTTAACAAAAGCTAAAACATCATTTTGTCTACCATAAGCGGTTAAACAGGAACATCACAAAGCTAACATTTGAGACAACTCCTTAGAATATGAGGTATCTTCAGCTTCTTTAGTAAACGCGATTTCCAAATAAGGTTGGAGTAGAAAGAAATATGAGAACATCACACCATCACATCAATTGAGTGCACAAAGCCAAAACAGTTACTGAAGGCATAATTCCATAAGTAACATTTTGCTGTCAAATTATAATTGGAGGTCTTCCGAGCATACAGAAAAACAAAGTGGTACTAACAAAGAATAAAGTTGGTTCCAATGTGGTAAAAAAATCCCCAACCTTAATCTGTTTTTTATTTTCTAAAGCATGTCCTACAACCACCCAATCAACCTTCAATATACAACTTCTAGACTCTCAAGACAGACATGCTAAGTGCTATTCAAAGACGACCGATGGTAAAACATTGAAGGACAAAGGAATGCAATCAAAGAATCTCTCATTCTTAAGAGGCACAACTCCCCAAACCCTATTTACTGGCATATGTTGCTAAAACATCTACTAGAAGCTATTTATGAAAGTCAGCAACATGAAACTAAAGCAAATTTAGAATACTTTATATTTTTGACACTCAATTCTCAGTAGGAAATCCAGAAAGCAGTATCAAAGCAGTTTTCTGCAAAAACGTAACGATCTCATCTTTGCAAGAAGCTATCAGGCCAGGGCCTATCACTCTCTACAAGTTTATAGTATTTCCCTCCTAATGCATCATCTTGGTAAGTCCTTCTTTATCCCTTCTCAGCTGGCCCTTAAAGGGCTTAACATAAGTTAACTTCACCAGACTTCACCCCATTGCCTTTCAGATGTTAAGCAGCACAAGGCCCAACACAGACTCCTGCAGCACTTTGCTGGTGAACTCTATTTATTACAAAAATTGAATCTTTGTTTCTCAGCTTCTAACTAGTTAACTGCTTACAAGAGGACACTCATCTTTGTTTCTTTCAGAATATTCAGTAAAAGAAATTTACTTCATGCCTTTTGGAAATCCCAAGAGGCTGTATCAAACAGCTTTCTCTTGTCCACACACTCACACTTCTGGATATTCACATGCTCAGGACTCCCGTAATCAGAAAACAGCACGTCTCTTAGAAAACAGCATGTCTCTAAGCAGATGGCATCCACAGAGAGATTAGAAAAATCAAAAAAGAAATCCCTTGCTCTGTGATATGACAGACAAATCTTTGGTTTAGATGTTTTGACTTCTTCAGATCTGTGTCTCTCAATAGAATAATCTCCTCTCCCAACAATATGGCTATTGATGAATAACACGGTTTGGTTTTTCATTGGTTTTGTTGTTGGTTTTTTTTGAGAAGTCTGCTAACTTCTCTGCAAGATCTGAAGGGAAAATTTCTTGTAGAGAAGTCTGCTGACAGGATAAAAAAAGTCTTAACTTTTTTAACAGAATGTAAGAAAAGGATGTTCCTGGCCTTTACTCCAACAGCAATCTGGTGGAAATTGAAGTATCAAGTAATTATTTGCTAAGGAAACAAAACTATTAGATAGTAAATTTGCCAATATTTAAGAATAAAACTCCTAACATTTAAAGACTGTCATTATTGAAAAAGAAAATTTATAGCCAAAAATAAACCACTAGAGGACACTTTGAAATAACACAAGTAACATAGAACTGAAGCCTAAACATAAACACAGTTTCTAAAGTGTTTCGGTGTTTCATTTTTTTGCCTTTTAGCATCTCTAAAGTGAGCAGACAAAAAAAGCATAGAAGTGTTAGCAATGAAACTGAAGTAACAGTACTCTAAGGGATTGTACATACAGCACTCAAAAATAATTGGCAAGAACCTACAAAGCTAAAGAAAATTTAAGACATAAGACCATTTAGAAAGATCATGTATTTACTGTTTTGTTATTAAACCTAGGATTAATGGCTGTAGTCTTACATAGTCTTATAGACAACATAACTGAACCTAGTGTGCAGTTGATCAGAACTGCTATCAAACTCATGATCAAAATCATTCCATGTGAAATATTAGAGTAGTATTCAGAAGAACTTTAATGCCTCATTAACATTTTAAGTATCTCCTTAAATACTTTAATATACATCCTCAGAATATTTTACACAATTCTTTTCAATTTCTCATCCTATTTCCAAATTCTCCATTTTAGGCTTAAAGCAAAAAAAACCATAAAGAACCCTTTTTCAAAAGATTTATGTTCACTTTCCCACTTTAGGAGCATAACATCTGGAAATACACTAAAAAACACATCTTGCGCGTAATATTTAACTTCTTGTTCTTTATGAAATAAATTTACTGTTTTGCAGAGAAAAAACAGGTAATGACCTAATCAACACTTTCGTCATTACTGCACAAGCAGTAAGTCAAGTATTAGCAACGATTTAACCTAGCTTCATTATTTTAAATTAGCTAACAGGATTCTACAGGATATTGGCACCAGCTCCCTGGATGTTCTCTTAACCTGGTAACACTCTCTTAAGCTGGTAACTGGTTTAGATTTGTAAACCGAAGTACAGCAAAACCAAAATAAGTTCTTACTCACGTTGTTTAGAACTGGTCATCTGGGGAAATAAAGCCCAAATCACTGCAATCATTAGATACTTTCCCTCTTTTTGGGCTCCTTGCTTGCACCTACTAGCTATTTTCAGCTATGAGAATCTTGAATCCTAACCAGATTTCCTAAAATGAGCCAAACCCCCTTTCTGCTCCCACTGAAAGGGGAAAACAGCATTTATACAACCAGCTGAGAGAGTAGCAAAGGGGTATGTGGGGGGAAATCAATATGGAGACTAGAAAGAGCTCAAAGGCAAAAAAAGTTTTAGATGTTTCTTATCTAGAGAACTGAAAGACTCAAAACCACAAGGGAGCAAGTTACATTATTAATTTCTGATTTTACTTTATGCGATGGCTCTGCCAGTGGCCTGTACCAAAGGGAAGCTTTTGGTTCTCCTCATCTTTAAGAACAGGTTAGACAACTATTAGTATGAGCAGTTCAAAGATGAACCAGTATTTGAGAGATCAGAGGGCCTAGTCCCCAGAATGAGTGAGTGATGTAGATACTACCATCATAATCTGAGCATATATATAACTACCTTATGATAAAGAAAGTAGAATCTGACACACAAAATAAAGACCCTTCTCGATCCTGTCACCAGTCAAGTTTCAAAAATGAGGGGCTAGAGTCAAAATAATACCGTTAAGACAGAACCCATACTTCAACTTTGCTACTGTTGTGACATGGGCTATGAAGTGTTATCTGCACACTTGTCATTAAGGACAACAGGAGATAATAGCTTCTCTAGCATAAAGCTGACAATTTTAGACCTTAAAAAGATATCTTACCTCACTGAGATATCTCACCTTTTTATATGGAAGAAAAAAAAGCATTACTATAGTGAGCAGACCCAAGACACTTTCCAAATGATGAGCTGATACCAATACAATGCATGTGAAAAAGTCAGTAGAGGAAATGCATATGTGAATATACTGATCAATCTCAGTTTGGGAGCAACAATCTCATTACAGTGACATTGGAAGGTAAAGATGCACTATGCAAACAAGAATCAGGTATTGCTTCTACATCTCCATAAGTAACTTTTATTTATGGTAGGTTTATCTATGTTACTAGAAACTACTATTTAGACTTTGTGTCTTTCCTGCAACTCAAAAAGCATTCGGGAAACAACCACCAAGGTGGCCAGGACTTTCAGACAGTCATGTAAACATCTAGGCTGGATGTTCACAGGGAGACCTCTGGAGATCAATTTAATCCAACCTTCTGTTGTAAGTAAAGTCAAATTAGGCTATCCAGGGTCTAGTCAAGATGAGTCAGTTTCCATACACAGAAGGATATCATCATATAAAGACTGTTTACATAAATATGACAACCCGAGATCAAAAACATCTTAAGAACTGTTTTCAGCTGAACAACCTCTGAAACACAGATGCAGTTTTTTCTTCTCTCTGCTCTTTAGGAAAGGAAATAAAATATCATCTTTTCCTAATTCTGCATGCATTAAATCAAAATCATACACAGAAGACAGGAGTCTGACATTTAGAATCAAAACTGCTTCCAAAGTAGTAGTATTCTCCTTCCTTTACCTAAGAAAATGCACGGACACTGAAAAAGTATTCCACCCTGACTGAAAGCGTTCTAAATAAAACGTAAGAAAAATGCCACTTGGTCAACTGAAAAACCTTCAGTACTTGAACACCTTAATGATGACACTTACATCTCCATTGGTGACTAAGTGACCGGCAATCCATGAACAAACTGAACTATTTCATCCCAAAAAACCAAGGAAAGTAGTCCTTTCTTTCCTGTGGGAAGTCATGAAGCAATTTCCACCCCCTCCATCATCTGGACATGCATGCCAATATGTGGTTTTCTGCTTATTTCAGTGGGCAGAATTGCTTCATGAACAGTTTTGCTCTCCCAAGTGAAATTTCAAACTGCTTGTCAAAGCACAAGAATGATTACCTTGAAAAACTGATTATGATGATCCCGAAAAGCACACAGACCTGCATTAGGAGCTTAATTAGTCCCTGAACTACCTGGAATTTCTCCAATTAATTATGCAGTCTATAAACAGAACTGGTAATCACACCAAAGCCGTTTCAAAAAAAGAAAGTATTGGGAAGCTCTAAAGGCAGAGAATTTGCCTTGAAGGCTGCAAGTTGCTCAATATAAAGTTAGCACTCTTGACACTGGCACCTTCTCCTTTTGAGGGTAGTACTGGACACCTACGTACAGCTTCCAAACTGAACTGAGGCAGAGAAAGTTGCCAGGGAAAAGGCTGAAGAGACCATTCAGACAAATTAATCCCTTTCAAAGACCTTCTGAATATGAAAGAACATTTGCTGTTACGTAAAAAGCTTGCCCATGTTCAAGTCTATCTCAGGATAGGAGTCCTCTGAGCTAGTAAAACGTGTCCATTAAAAGTTACAAACTAGGATGGTCTTGAATTACATCAACTACAAATGGAACGCATGAATCTAATCCAGCTCAGTCATGCTCCAGAAAGTTACAAATGAAAAGGAGACATTTACATCATTCTAGGTAGAATTATTTAATTTCCCACTTCTGGCTTGGTCATAATCATTATGAAAAAAGTATGTGTCTACTTCACAATACATAAGCTTTTGGTAAATTCAATGCAGAAAAAACATCATCCCACTTCTGGACCTGGAACTGCAGATAGCAACGAAGTCCTATGATTTAACATGAACCTCAAAGGCACATCTTTGTCAAAGAAAAGCCACAGACGATTTCCTGATTTTAAACATGTATTGTACAAACTACTAAAAGAACAGTTAACAAGTACTGGAAAGGCCAGCCAAGTAACAGAAAGCCAGAAAAAGTGCTACAAAGCAGTTGTTTTCCAAGATTCAAAATTCCAACAGAGATCCAAAATTCATGCAATACATTGCCTCTTCACTACTAAGGCAAAAACTCTGGATGCCAACTTGTTTTGTACCAGCAACTGCAAGTCTCAAACCTGGATTTTATTTTTTTTGTGTCATTTTGATGAAGTTAAGCTCCACAGCACTTCTTAAAAAAAGCAGAGTTGTGAAGGGAAAGAATAAACTAGACTAGGTTTGTATTTTAGGTGAAATTTAAGTTAAATTAGCTCTGCAGTTTTAAAACAAAACTTCAAAAGTTTCAGACTGTACACTAGCATGTGAATAACTCAGCTGCAGACACTAAAAAGCAATATATTGTTCAATTAGTTTCTTACTAATAGAAAACATTTCCTGTGCAGGTAAGCTGGTTTGCCTAGGTAGGGGAAGACAGGCAAAGGGGAGAAGAGTAGGCAGGTATCTGTGTCATCACACAGAATATTAAAGCAGAAGGCATACCTTGATATACAAATGGGGCTTAGGAGATGACTGAGGATTGCAGAGGTAGCTGGGAAGAACATGTGGTAATAGCTTTCAAAGACAGTGCCCCTTTTATGTTAACCTGCCTGCAAGGAAATAGTGGAACACCCGTGGTATGCAAAGGGAAAGCATCCTGGTCTAAAGCAAAGAGGGTGAAAAAAATGTCAGTGAAGTGCCTAGCACAAGCACTTGTGTAGCGACTAAGAATAATTTGGGCATCCAGCTGTAACATGCCCTAACTCAATGCTGACATTACTGAACATTGAAAATGTTTCAATTAAGTGAAATTTATTTAGTAAATGGAAATTTATTTAGAAATCTGTTCAGTATTCATCTAAAAGTTTCAACCTTTCAAGCACAGAGGTTTTTCTTTTTTTTTTTTTTTTTTGTTCTGTAGTGAGTGGCAGTGACCATCTCTAGACATACAAGTCAAACTCATAAACTGAATTAGAAGTTCACCCTTACATGCCAGTCTTTAAGTATTTTGATAAGCAGCACAAAGTTGAGCTGGAGGTCAGCAGCTAGGGAGCTGACACTAGGGCCAATACTGGTTAACATCTTCATTAATGACCTGGATTATGGGAAAGAGGAACCCTCAGCATGGTTACAGATAGAAAATTGGAAGGAGTGGCTGATACGTAAGATTGTTTTGCTGCCAGAAAGAGGAATCTCATGATGCTGGAGACATAGGCTTGCAGGTATCTCATGAAGTTTGAAAAAAGAAAATGCTAAATTCTACCCTTAGGAAGGAATAATCCCATGCACCAGTACACACTGGGCACTAGTTGGGAAGCAGCCTGGCATAAATCACCAGGGATTCTCAGTGGACAAGCTGAACATGAGACAGCAACAGGCTCCAGCATCAAGGAAGAACAACAGCATCCTAGGCTATATTAGGAAGAGTACCTCTATCAGGTGAAGGGAAGTGATCATTTCCCCTCAGCTCAGCACTGGTGAAGCCCCATACAGAGTGCTGGGCCCAGGTATGGGCTCCCCAGTAACAAAGAGACATGGACATATGGGAGTGAGTCCAGTGAAGTTCCATGCAGATACATAAGGGACTGAAACATTTGTCATACAAGGAAATGACAACACAGCTAGGGCTACTTAATCTCAAAAAGAGGGAGCTTCAGAAGGATCTTATTGATGGGTCAAACTAATGAGAGGGTATAAAGAAGATGGAGCCAGACTCCTCCCCATCAAAGAACAAGAAGCAATAGGTATAAGCTCAATAGAGAGGAACACCACTTAAATTTAAGAAAAACTTTTACTAGAACAAGTTTCCCAGAGCACCTGGGAAATATCTCCATCCTTGGAGACTCAAAACCCCAAATCAAATAAAAAAGGACAAGGTCATTAAGTTTAAAATACGTTGGGCCTAGATTCCCAAAGACTGAGAGAAGAAACAAAACATTCTAAGAACCTGACCAAAACTAGGTTTCAAAGAAACCAGCTCATTATTTTATCATAGGCAACCTACAATCCACAACTTGCATTAAAAGCTCATGTGAGGCAGCTGTTTTGACTAATCTTTTCAATAATAAAGATTGAAGGAATGCTTTGCTACAGAAAGAGAGACTGAGGCTATTAAGAAAACTGAGGATTTTTCTTCCCCTTCTACTATACTGATACATTAGCTAAAATATTTCAGACTAGTTGAGTAACATACAGTTTCCCTGCACATTCACCTCCCAGCACATTAAAGCACACATTTAATATTTTGGTAAAAACTCTTGTTCGCATGCCAATAATTGGTTTTGTATCTTTAAAATGGATTACAGAAAGCTAGAAGTGTAGTCAGATCTGTTCTAATAATTCAAAATCAAGACAACTAGACAAGCCTGGACAGGTCAGTACTATTACTTCAGATACTTCAAAAACTAGCTTACAGATACAGCACCTAGATGAAGTTTCTGTTTTAAGAACAGGAAGTTAAACAGCCTAGAGATCTGCAGATAACCCCACTGTTTAGGAGTCTGAAATACAACTTAAGAAGTCAGACATCTGACACTACCTTGAACTTATTCCTAGGTGTCAGGGAAGGCTACTATATTCAGAGAGGCATCTCAAACACCAAATCCTTTCCCACCCATTCTTCTCCCCACACTTCCGACATGACAGATAAGTACTTTCATGATTACATGAAGTCTAGGCACATGCTATATATGAAGGTTATCTTCAGAGGTTTTTAGACTGACAGCACAGTGCAAATGATCTACACTTCTGATTTGATTGCTTTCTCATGAAAAAGTTGCTCCATTCAGTTGGCTCATACCTGATTACTGGCGGCCATTATCAAGGTTCTCGTAGGCGCAGATTGGGGTTTACCACTTGGCATAGGCAATGCGGGTGGTAAACTGGCCATAAGCTGAGTCGGTGCTTGCAGACTGAACTGGTAAACATTAGGAGCTGTGCAAGGTGGTGTATCAGAATCCTTTTGGCAGAGAAAAAGGGGAAAAGAAAAGCAACTTTACAGAAAGCACAGTATATACAGGCTATGCATGTGAAAATGCACCCAAATATCAACTCATGTGAATACTGTAAAATTTAATTGTTTTTTTCAATGGTAAAAATAAAATACAAGCCAGCACTACGTTTATTTTACACTTTGAGCAAAAGTTTAATTGAACCTGCATCAAGGAGACAATGTCAACAGGTCTATGGCAATCACAGGTCAGTTCCAGTTACTGTAATCTAAAGCCAAAGTTACATCTCTACCAAATTTGAATTAAAAGATGGGAACTAAGGTTGGGAAAAAGGAAAAAAAAAAAAAAAAAACCAAAAACCAAAACAAAAAAAAACACCAAACCAAAAAACGGAAGAAGAACAGCAACACTGTTAGTGATACAAGGGCTAGAATTTTAGGAGTCATGACAGAATCAGTCCTCTGAAGAGCGTTCTGGATTGTACTTATCTGTACAGCAAAGTTACTCACTGTAATTGTTACAGTCTTCTCCCATTCTACCCAGCAACAGCAAAGTTAGGGCTCCACCTACCAAGAAACAAGGAGATGCTCTGCCAGTCAAGACTAGTATATGTGCACCAGTCACCCACTTCACTGCCAGTTAGGAGTTCTGCTCCCCTCACTTTCCACTGGAAACCTCAGAGGTAACTCTTCAGAAGAAGCAAGATGGATGCAGGATTACAGCAGATAATGTAATGGAACTGGTATTACTGATTATTACTCCTCCTCTTTCTAACCTGACCAACAGCAGTTACAGATGCATCATAAGCAATCATACTGGTGATGTTAAAATACTGTGTGCCTGGAGTGCTTAGCAGACAACAGGCAAGGAGGTAAGCACAAATGCAGGGTTTTATACGAATTACTGAAGTCTGAGACCACCCAACTGACTGCCTCAATTCTTAAATGACCAATTACTTATAAATTGAGAAAGCTGAAAAGCAAGCTACAGCCCTGTGAAACAACTTTGGACACAGATCCTGTATAACTTATTTTTCAGCCTTAACACAATGGCAATAAATAAGTAGCTTTCCGTACATTTCGCTGCTGCTTTTTACCTCACCATTAACTCCAAATTATTCTGAACTTGAAAATAAAGGAAAAAAAATGTATTCATTATCCCAAACCACTAGTGTTTTTCCATTCCCAGCCATCTGGCTCTAAGTATAGCAAAAGATGGGGCCAATTAGTAGTTTAGGAGTTACCATATTAAAATACATTACTCAGATCATCAAGGATCTTTACTGTTAAAGTAATTACTGAAATACTCTATTGCTCTTTCTTTAAAGATTAATTGCTTGGAAGCAAAGATGCTCCACTTAAACCAAGCAAAATTTAAATAGACCTCCAGCATTACTACTCGCCCTCATACGGCCTTGCTTTCCAAATTAGATTCTACAGTCAGAGAATAGGCTGTCTAGGAAAATATTTTCAAAAACAGAAGGAAGAAACATTTTAGAGCTTTTCTTGGGGAAAGGAAAAGATCATTTAAGAGAGACTGACAGTTGTGAATACCAAGCAGCCTAAGCAAAAAACTGTTAGAAAGCAAGCAGTTTGCACTTCACAGCTGAAGTGAGCACTCACAGTAGAAAGAGTCCTCATTGAAACTGTCAGCTATTAGAGCAATCATTCCTTTATTGGTCCATACAAAGCTGTGCTTACTAAGAAGTAAGTTCTAGAAAGAATAGAGCTGCTCTCCTACTAGGTCAGCTAGTGGAAAAGTTACAGTACACCTTTGTGAAGCTGTTTCAGGTATTTGCATCATGAACTCACTACAGGCCTATCATACTGGTAACAAGAAACTTAAGTCTTGCTTATGAGATCAGATGTTTACCATTTAATAAACATGTCCACACTGGGACAACTACATGCTGAAGCACTGATCAAAAAATTAAGCTTAACTGTATACATACACCAAGTCAACTGCCTGGGTGAGATGGCATTTTTCTCATTTGCCCAAACCTATGATAGCCACAGGAACAGGCTAAGGTCTCCAAGATTAAGCTAATACATTACTTAAGTAGACGGTAGAGTCAGATACAGGGACAAGAACTTGGATTTCTAAGCTGAAGTTTCTTTAAACATGGAATTATTAAAAAGCTTATTAAAAAGAGGGAAAAACAAAGACCGGGTAGTCATGTTTGAACAGACAACTCCTGAGCCTGTTCACAAGTCACCATGAGCAGGAAGGTAAGAGGGAAAAGGGGATCGTACTGTCTATCCAAACCAATGCGTTATCTTCTGAAATGGAACCTGCACAAACCTGATCAAAGAACAGTTTTAGTCTCTACTTAAAGACTTTTATTTCTCTCTTCTGCTTAGACATAGTCAAACACCCTAAGAGTCACATACCTAACCCATTTGGGACACTTCCCATTTATAAGATTTCTAAGGGGTTTGTGCAACAAAAAGTTAACTCCAATATGGAAGCAACAGCAGATGCTTTCCCTGAGGAAAGGAAGTCATACGGTTTAACTGAGACTAGATTAATTTCAGCACAAGGAAGCTTGTGTTGCTTTATTTAAATTTTTGTAATAGGTATGTTCTTCTGCCTCAATGTTATTTACTGATACATGTCTCATACAAGCAGACTATATCTCTCCCAAGGCGACCCTGGATTGCTAACAGGATTGCTATATGGAGCTCATAGAATGATTTAGCAGCATCAAAATCCTCTTGTGAGAAAGAGCATTACCTTTCTTACTCAAACTGAAAGGTTAACCTCAGTGATCAGAAAATTGAGCCCAATGTGAACAAAACTTACTTTCTACAAGCACGGCCTACACTGAGGATTAACTCTTACTGGACAGGATTCTGAAGTGTGAAGCTCAGAAGACCTTCAGGTAAGTAAATGCATACAGATCTGACACTTCAGATCCATGTCTGGAAGACAAAAGGTCTAACCTTTACTAGGGCAAGGGCTACAGAGCCCTTTTTTACATTTTTTACATTGTAAAAATATGAATGTAGAATAAAGGGGTAAGATCTCTCGTCTGATTTTACCAAAATAATCTAAGGATAAAGCTATAAGGACTGACTAAGAGCCAAGGTAAGTTCCTGATCTCTTGAATATTACTACTATGGATGCCAGTCATAGAATCCCTCATCCTGCAAGTGAAGTATCTTCTAGAGGGGCTTTTGGAGACAGAGAAGAGGGCCTACAAGGATACCGAAGAGGGACTCCTCATCAGGGACTGTAGCGATAGGACAAGGAGTAATGGGTTTAAACTTAAACATGGGAATTTCAGGTACAGGTTCAGGTACCTGCCAGATAGCGGTTTATCCTACAGGGAATTTTTAAAATACACTCTTTTAAAATATACTCTTTAACCCAGTTTCAACTTCCCGAGTAAGAACTTAGTACCTGCAAGGAAGATTTCTACTAGTCACAGCCTTGATTACTGAGGAGTCAAGTCTTTAATTTACCTTAATTTTGAGAAGAAGACAAATTATGGAAGAGACCTAGAAACTCAAATGTTACTGATGAACTCTCATCTAATTGCAAATTTTGTTTGAGAAATGGGATTCTCCAGCATTCTGTCTAGACAGAAACAGTGAAATACTGCAGTCATATGAAAGATGAAGAGCTGAAGCTATCTTACAGTCCAGACTTCTCTTCCTGATGTTGGAAGAAGGGAAAAAAAATAAAATAAAAAAATCCTTCACTGTTCTGCAAAATGCATCTCCTATTACAAAAAGTACCAGAACCTCATCAGCAAAAGAATATTTACTCACCAGGAGCTTCTTAACTAGGTCTGGCCATAAGAGCTTATTTCAATATCATTAATAACTCCAGGCTTAAGATTCAAGACAAACCGTACTGGTACATCAATTCCTCAAGACAATGGTTCAGTTTCCACAAGTTTCACATGCACTCAGTTACACTCATAAGCTTTCTTTCCATGATTCTATATGTATGGAAAAGTGATGCCTTCTGCTTTGTCTCATGATGTAGTGAGCTAAGAAGTTTCAGTTGAGTAACAATAGCTACCATTTTTGAGCTTTCCATTTCAAAAGCAATTCCTTTTTTAAAAGCTGAAGATTAATTCACGGTCCCAGTTTGCCAAGTTTTGGCCCAGTGGTAAAAGAGTCTAACTATCCTAGGAGTCAGCACTCAGAAATCAAAACTTAAAAAATAGAATGCACTTTTCTTCCTATTGTGACAGATTTGGGGTTTACAACCCACTCCCCACCCCCCAAGAATGAAGTACAGAGGTTTTGGTAAACAGGTTCTTACTGTTTCCATTCTCCAAACTTCTCCCACTAATTAAACATTTCTTTCTCTTTCCCAGAACATACAGGAGCTAGAAGCTGTGAGAGAACAATGACCATTTCAGTACAAACTGTTCCATCTTTGAAAGCACAGAACTGAAAATAGCGAGAAAACTGGTGTTTATAGTGAACACTTTACACTATATAGATTTTTTTCATGTGTTCCTCTCCTTTCTTACAATTGAAGTAATTTAACAGATAACTGCTGCCAGT